AAAAAAAAATGTAAATCTCAGAAAATACGCCTTTGGGTCATCAAGGAGGGGAAATGTTAACGTAAGAGGTTTCTCTCTGGAGTGACACTGCCAACGTGTTCCCAGTTACCTTTTAAAAAGGAAGGCTGCTCCTGGGTGAAAAGGCACTCAAGTCAAACCTGAGTTCAGGAATTCTGTCTGTCTGTTTGTTTGTTTGAAGTATTGTCTGATACTGGCCTTCTATCATTTAAAAGTTGACTAACAAATGTTGACTTAAAGTTAATATGAGTCGGAATGTGACTCTGGCAGATGACACACATGCGGGATGAAGCGTAACGGGCACGACAGCCCCAGCCAAGCTGTCCCGGTGCATTAAACACAGTGACTTTACAACGGCATGTGATTTCAAGCACTTCGGGCAGGCGGTGAGCTGGCATGGCTGGTGAACTACACTGAAATCCATGTGACATTAAAGGAAACTCAGAAGGTAGGTGTCCTGGAACCTCCCTTACGCTGCTACTCGCAGCTATATCCTGGACAGCCAGCTTAGTTGGCAAACAGTGTCAACATTGGTTCAGCTGAGTTTCTAACAGCTGAACATCTAAAGTCCATTTCTAATGGAGCAAGAATGAAAGGGCTCACTCTCTGCACAATGTCTTTCATTTGCTCATGTATTTATGACTAGTAAGAATACACAGAATCAATTTTATGACTAAAACTGAGAAAAGGTCAAACCATAAACAAACAGTAACACTTAAAATTAAAGGAGAAAAGCAAAGAGTAACTAAATGTAAAAACATTCAGAGGCATGCTTCTAGAGTCACGAAACTACAGATCCTAATCTAGCACACCCCTACGAACTGGGTCTACTGAAAACATAAAACCACCACCACTGAAAGAAAAAAGAAAATCAAGACAGAAAAAGTACCAAAGGGAAAGAAAGAACATACCAAATCTAGAACAGAGATTGCTGGCACAGCAGTCTGCTGCAGGCAACAGAGAAGAAAAAAAGAAAGATGAAGTGTGAAAGGTTAGGTTTAGAGCTGCATTCCGCCATTAGCGCATCTTTGCTCTTACGGGCCATCTGTTTCTGGGGGACACCCCAACGAGAAAAGTAAAGAACTACAGACCAATTTCTGATATGTAGAAATAGAAAACTGTCCGCATGGTAGTGAAGACTGAGTTTCATTATTAAGATACACAGAAACTCAAAAATGTACAATTTCCCTTAGCTCTCTTATTTGGAGAGTAAGATATTAATCTTAATATGTAATTCATGATAAATACTGTGATACTTTTTAGTTAGTCATCATAAGAAACTTTCCAAATATCACAATACATACTATTAGTGAGGCTTTAGAGTAACCAGTGTTTTAACCGTCTGGAAGAACTGACAGACCTTCAATACAAATTCAGTGTTTATGGAACAGAATTATAGAAACATTACAATGCTGTTGCTAACTCCTCACTATTACTGGGATGCAGTTATAACAATGATGATTAATAGCATCTACTTATTTATTATAACCACAGCTTTGGGTTCAGAGTTTGAACTGCAGTAAAGGGAAGCCATTCTTTTCTTGTGTTTTTGGGGGTGGGGGATACAAGGCCATGAACACGTTCAGCTTCTTCAATGAATCCACCTGCAACATGTCCACCAGTGATGCTGGCCAGAGCGGAATGACACTGAATGTCAAGTGCACAGCCAACCATGCATGTAACAGAGGCACAGTGAAAATCCTTCCAAGAGCCTGTACGCTAAAAGTGACTAGTATTAATCAACAGTTGTTCTTTCAAATAAAATAGGACCAACGGCAAATACAGTCGTTCTGGAAGTTTACTGGTGAGCTGGAAAACGCTAACAAAACAATGTCATCGTTAATATTCAGGCCTTCATTTTAGAAACTTCAGTGTCTCAAGACAAATTCTGGCTGCATTTTGGGCAAAGTGCTGGCTGAGAATATGTATATAATAACAGGTGTGTGCATGTGTGCCGTTTCAGGAAAATACTTCACAGAGCAAACTGAAAAGGGGTACTGATAATTACCGGAGATTAAATCTCATCGCGAGGCAGAATGAGACGTCTGTGACTAGCAGTTACTGGTTTAGACCTCTAGTCCAGACAGCATCCAACACAAGTTGGACTTAGACACAAAATCCAGAAGACAGAAAGGGCATGCTCTTGGTTGTCTTTTCTCAGGATACTGCATTGTATTAAAAAGAAAATCACTAAAAGTCATTAACATGGAGCGGTCTCTTACTGAGAGAGCACAAGTCTCGAATTTGGCATTAACAATCTATTGCATTAAACTAGATTTTACTTTTCTTCTCTTATTTGATACAAAAAAGCTAAAGTTATTTGTATAATCTGGAGAAATATGGATAAAATTCCAAGTTCTCAGGGTCTTTATACTACCAAGGAAACACGATTTCGCCAACTGCTTGTTTCATCCACCTTGTAACTGCTATGGCGTCTGTCCGTGATAGTGACAGCAAAACCTCAAGGCTGACTTCTGAACAGTTTCCTGTTACCCCCATTCAGTGATGACAATCGAGACCAGGGGTGGGCAGATGCCCGGCCGGCCCTCAGCACACGGCCCTTCTCTGTCTGGGCAGCCCCCACTTCCACAGCAGGGCTGAGGCGTGAAGGCGGAATCTGTATGGCCCAAAAGCCCAAAATGTTTACTATCTGGCTGTTTAAGAAAAAATGTTGCCAACCCCTGATCAAGATTATTACTGGTTCTTATTTTCTCAATTGAAGTGTTTGAGAAGGACAGATGTAAGTTTGCTAATTAAAACAGTAAATTTCCATTTTAATTGCCTTTACTACTTTCTAAAGGGCGTGTCCCAGAAACGCCGGAACCTCCCACCCTGGCTGTCTCCAGGGCAGGAGCTGACTGGCACCGCGCCCACGCCGCCCCGCGCCCAGGGCCCTGCCGCCCGCCTGCCTGCTGGGCGGGCGGCAGGGCGCACGCGGCCGGCGTCTGTCTCCCTTTACCCTTGCTCTGCGCTCCGCCTCCAGGCGCTGCATGATCAGCACGGTGTCCACGTCGTCGTCCTCCTCCTCGTCGTCGTCGTCGTCCTTCTGCTTGGACTCCTGCAGTCGCTTCTGGAACTGCCACTCGAGCATGAGCTTGCGCAGGCGGTCGTTCTCGTCCGCCGAGCGGTCGGCCTTGCCCTGCAGCTCCTGGATCTCCCTGCTCAGCATGTCCACGATGTGCATCTGCTGCTGCTTCTCCAGCTTCTCCTTGGCGTCGCGCTTCCAGGGGTCGGGGGACAGGCTGTCCCCCGAGGCCAGCTCTTCCTTGCTGACCGTGACGTACTGGAGGTCTCTGCGCTCGATCGTGCGGGGCTGCTGCTGGGGCTGCAGCTCCCGGATGACGGTCTCCGGGGGCCGCTGCAGCGTGGAGGGCTTCTCGGGCTTCGCCTGGGGAACGGCCCCGGGCGAGAACGGGGCAGGGGCGAGGGCCTGCGAGCGCATCTGGCCCAGCTTCCGCTCCTGCTCGCGGCGCTTCCGCTCCCGCTCCTCCTCCAGCCGCGCCTTCTCCTTCTCGTACCACCGCTGGTGCTCTTCTCGCTTCTTCCGCTCTGCGGCAGCCGCCTGAGCAGACGGGGGCCCCGCGTGGGCGGCAGGTGGCGGGGGGAGAGGCAAATCCACGGGGAGCCCGTCGAAGTCACCAGCATAGTGCACAGGGGGCGGCGGGGGCGGCGGTGGCAGGTCTGTCCGGATGGGCTGGGACACGGCCACGGGCACGGGCTGCACGGCGGCGGGGGTCTTCCAGCGCCCAGGGCCGCTCTTGGTGAGCGTGGACGCGGGCGTGCCCGCCTTGGAGGAGTGGTCCAGGTGCTCCTGGCTGGACGTGCAGGAGCCCACCGAGGAGTTCGGATGGACCCACATGTCGCCGTCAGACTTGCGGTCGAGAACGGCCTCTATTCGATGCCGCTCGAGTTGATAGGCTTTATCTTCCCGAAGTTCCTCTTGGGAACGGGTAATACGCTGGAGAAAGAAAAAGGAAAGCTGTGACATTTCAGCCATCTACCACAAGAAATTACTGAAAATTCACAAATTATTAGAAAAATGTTGTGTACAGAAGAGAGGCTCAGCCTGCAATACGGCTCGGCGGCTATGGAAAGTCACAGCGCCCTTCCAGTAAACCCCGCCATCATCGGTGGAGTCCCTTCCTCGTCCTTCTCAGCCCCTGGCAGACACCTCCACTGTGCTACCAGTCACGTAACTGACTCTGAAAGGACGGCTGTACTGAAAGCACGTCAACAGTAACAAATTACTTCTCTGTAGAATTCTAGTCATTATTAGAGTAATTATCGATGTTCACCATCGGATGCGCCCATGGCTTTCTGAACGCTTCCAGAGCTGTGTGAGATGATGCCAGAGCAGCACGTGTACCCGGAAGAGCTCTGCTCCAGGGTCAGAAAGGGCAACGGCAGTGGCACAAACCTTAGACACCAACTTCTTTGTGTGTGCGAGACAGAAATCAATACGCCTTTGTCAGAGGGCTGGTCTGCTGTCTGAATTTAATCTGATAGAAATGATTCACTATGATGTCTCAGTCAGACATTTTTTTCCTGCCTTGTTAATGAGTAGAAATTGAAGATGCAAACATAGGAAATAAACTGTTTTCCTTTCCCTAAATAAAAAACAAACCAACGAAATGGAATATGAAATATTTCTTGAGAAAGCAGAAAAATGAATTATCATTTGAAAAGAACAGCCTGATAGAAACAGAAACACTGACTTCCAACACGTTCTATCGCTTTACTATGCAGACACACAAGTTTCCTGGCTACTGGCCAACAGCCGACAGCCCACAGGGAAGTGGTGTGACACTTCCTGCGATTTGCAGAACGCACGCTTCCCGGGTTCCTGCCTTCAGGCTGCACACCGCGGCTCCTCTCTGTGGCTGCGGTTGGTGACCGCGCCATCCAGTGTCTCCCTGAAGACTTCCTTTCAGCTCCTGGTGCTTACTTGCTCCGTCTTTCCACCCCTCCCTGGCAAGTCCATCATGATTCTTACTGGTTTAACACCCACCCGAGAAGCTTCGAGCCCCTGGCCTCCTGGCCCCTTCCACTGAGCCTGTGAGGGTGTAAACCACAAGCATGGAGGTTTGACAGTGCTCGTCCCACACACAGGTGAGGAGGTGTGGGCTGCTGTGACGTGTGGGAAGCAGAGACCCCTTAGAACTAACGGGACACAGGATGACTTGATTGTTGGCGAGAAAGCAGAGCAGGAGCAGGCCCCTCCTCACCGCCACCTCCAGCTTGCTGCCAGAGCTGGCGGGGTGGGTAAAGGGCATCATGCCTACCTAGGAAACGGGCAGGATGGGCCCAAGGACAAAACCGCTGACAAGATGAAATCTTGTGAACGAAGAAGAGGTGTGACCCGAGAATCGCCGTCTGAGCTCGGAAAGTGGAGCTCTTCTCATCTTCCTCACACTATCTGCTGTGAAGGCCACCCTCCCTCTTGGTTCTCTCCTCCCTCTAGGCTCCGCTCAGATCCCTAGAGTGTCTTCTGACCACTCTGATCCAAGAACGGTCATCCTGGAAATCACCATCCAGGGTGCATATGGTACCTAGCCTAGACTGGATGTGTTTTGCAGCACGCATTTACTTTCTTCTCCCAGTATTTCACAATGCAAACAGTTCTCTTTCCAAAAAGAAAAACGTATCTCCTAACGTTCCCTAACGTAACTACCCCGACTGACTCCCCGTTCTTTACTAAGTGGGCTAAACCCCAAATTCCGTAGCCTGTCACATGGAGCCCTACCCTGTGGCCCCAGCTGTCTGTACAGCCTAGAACCCTCGCCGTCCCCCTG